GAGGCAGGAGACTCGCTTGAGCCCAGGAGTTGGAGGTTGCTGTGAGCTGTAATGCCACTGCACTCTACCCAGGGGGACAGCTTGAGGCCCTGTCTCAAAAAAAAAAAAAAAAAAAAAAGAATCCTATCATTTTCCATGTAAGGACAATGAAGTTCAGAAATATTACATCATTACCTAAAGCAATGTCAGAGATCTTTCTACTTAAAGGCACAAACAACTCCAACAATGACTGGTGAACTAAGAGATAAATGACCAATACAAGATAACTACTATTATCTTTTTATTATTCTAATTTTCACAAGAGGATAAGGCAAGGCAATATAACCCAAATAACTCAACTGCGTGTTCTTTTAAGTGATTGGTTTTATGGAAGTTGAAATGAATAGCTAAAATGGATCCTTACTATTTAAAATAAATAATGTTAGTCCACAAATCCTAAATATTCTACCTCTTACCTTTAAAATTCTTCAAAATCTTTAACAAAAACAGTAGCAGAATTTGAAATTTTAAAAAATGATGCAGAAACACTTTTGGGGTCAAAAATACAAATTCTTAAGAAAACAATTTACTGTGTTAAACTATATGGAAGTGAAAACTGCCTATGCCTGGACATATTTTTAACTTAGAGCTTATTTTAGACTAAGTAATTAGCCTTATTAAAATTCTTACCAGTTCTGTCATACGATTCATGACATGTACGTGCAATTTCCGCCCCTAGCTCTAAATAATGACCAGCTTTATCTGTTTTGGAACCATCTGCTCCTAGTGCAAACATTCCCCCAGCAAAGCAGGTCAAATGCCCCATCTTCTTTTCCAAGTGCCCATTCTTCCATTCTCCAATAAAGACAAGACCTCCACGGGACTTCTTAATAAGATGTTTTTCTATAGCCTACAGGAAAGAGAAGATACTCAATATTTTAGAAACAAACTATCAGTTAACGTTAACACTTACTATATCCTTCTAGTTATCATACAACCTTGGTAATACGATATTCTATAAAGTAGTAACTTTCCCAAATTGAGAGACTTTATTTACAATAAATAAGCTTGGAATGTGTGATCAAATTGCATATAATGTGTAACAAATACCCTTATCAGTAGAAGAAAAGAGATTTGGTCTAAAGATTATCTTTCTATATAAATAATATGAGCACTGTTTTCTTGAGTGCAATCAAATTCGTAATGATCAGTCAAATGAGATCAGGATGATGTTATAACCCAAAGCCTTCACCATTATTTTTGTTTCATACAACAAAAAATGAACAGAAAGAATACTCAAATTAATAAGAAAATATGACTTTAATAATTAGTTCACAGTTTCTCTATTCCATGAAACTACACTGCTTGGCAAAGTATTTTATAAAGGTACCATTAGGTGAGCAACCCTACACATTACAAAGCTTTACAAACTGATTGAAAGTTTAAGTGCATGCCCCTTTTAGCCCCTTACTTCTCAAACTTAAGCACTTGTTTTAGAGGGTGCATCACGAATAAGAGAGACCATGTGATAAATACACCATCCTCCAGTCAATTTTATTCTAAAGATGTGGGGATGGTGACAAAAATATTCTACATTAAACTTAAATATAAGATAGAGTATAAAATTCACATTTCATTTTTAAAATGAGACTTTTAAGAGCTCTGCTCATTTGGACTATGCTTTCAGACTTTGCTGAGAGGTGCTACAAATCAGTTCCCTACCTGTAGAGATATTTCTATTGAAAAGAGTAAGAAATTGTATTAAGTAAGTTTTCTTTGGTAGAAATTATTGAATATGACTAATGACTATACTTTTCTTTCTCACAATAAAAAGGATTATGTCATATAAGAATTAATCCACATTCTTACTGTGTGTATTATTCTCCAATAAGCTCAGTAGCAATCAGCTTTGGAGAAAATGTAACCTATATTCTGTTATTATCACATATGTTTTACAAAACTGGAAGAACTAGGACTTATACATCATCTTACACACCAAAAGCCTGTAATATAGTATACACCCAATACATGTTTAACTAATAAGTAATTTTATAAATGAATGGTGCCCTCAGATAATTGTAATTGAACTATTAGGAGAATGAGAGGTTGCTGACAACCAAAATGATAAGGGACTACCATTATATTACAAGTTTTTGTTGTTTTTAACTGTAGTACTTTGTAGCACAAATGAAAATCTTAGTTTTTTGAGTGCAGGGGCAATTGTTTTTCATCTTTGCAGACCTCATAATACTATCCTATCATGTTTTCTGCATGTAAGGTCTCCATAAATGGGTAAAGAATGATAATCCATATTCATGGTTCTGAATTTTTATATATTTTTGTCACTTCTGCTCATTATAATGTAAACCTTACCGTGTTATAATTAAAAGATATCCAAGCATATCTATGGACTTACTAGGACTAAAGTAAAAGTTAGGTAAAGATAGGGCTTTTTACCACCAATTTACTTATGAATGTTTAAAATTGCCTATATTGTTCTCTTCTCTATAAAATATGGCAAATGCCTAGGAATTTAATTTATATAAAATACTAAACTGTTGAATGAAATAATAAGAGCCATCAAGAATATTATCACTCTTCTATTAAACAATGTCAAACAAATCGTCACTAACATTAGCATTTAGCTTATTGTTTCACAAGGACTTTAAAAGGTATATTTTTCTTCACTATTTCAAAAAGTAAAAATTAAACATAAACTTTATCAGACATAAAATGTACATAACCTTTTTTAAAAAGCTAAGATATAGGGACCAGGGATATGGGCTTCTATAAGTACAGAGGAGTGGGAATGAAATAACTTAAATAGAATAACTCAAGAAAGACAAATTTAAAAATCATTTATTTCTAATTAGAATATTAAAATACATAGTCATTCCTGTCTCTTCCATACATTCCACATGTCATTTTATTTTTTTTTATTTATTTAATTTTTTTGAGACAGAGTTTCACCATGTCGCCCTCGGTAGACTGCCAGGGCATCACAGCTCACAGCAACCTCCAACTCCTAAGCTTAGGCGATTCTCCTGTCTCAGCCTCCCAAGTAGCTGGGACTACAAGTGCCTACCACAACGCCCGGCTATTTTTTGTTGCAGTTTGGCCAGGGCCAGGTTTGAACCCACCACCCTGGGTATATGGGGCCGACGTCCTACCCACTGAACCACAGGCGCCACCCAGATATGTCATTTTATTATAATTTATATACACTCTGTATCCTAATGGAATAGTTACTGAAAAAAATTAACATAGCAAAAACTGCATACTTGAGATTCTGCCTCAAAATCAAAGCTGATCAAGTTTTTCTAAAGACACTTAGTGCCCTGGACTCTGATTAAAAAAAAAAAAAAAAACAAAGAAAACAAATAAAGAAACATTTATAGAATGTATAACTTATATAGCAGATGACTCACGAAAACTAATTTTTAATGTTAGTTTTCAAGGAAAATATCATCCCCTTCAAATATATATAATTTTAAAAGCAATGGCAAATATAAGTAATTTTTTTCCTATTGCAAAAATTAAGCAAAGCAAAGAAAAAATGGTTTTAGATTAAGACTATTACAAGAAAATACCAATCTAAGAAGAAAACCTGGTTATGTATACTATATGACAAGTCACGCCTTCTCAAAAATAAAAATAATGACCTGGCACGGTGGCTCATGCCTGTAATCCTAGAACTCTCAGAATAGATTGCTTGAGCTCATGAGTTCAAGACCAGCCTGAGCAAGAGCAAGACTCTAGTTCTACAAAAAGCAGAAAACTTAGCTACTTAGCCATTATGGCACATTTCTAGAGTCCCAGCTACCTTAAGTTGAGGCAGGAGGATCACTTAAGCTCAGCAGTTTGAGGTTGCTGTGGGCTACGAGATGACACAACTATACTCTAACCAGGGAAAGAGAGCAATAATTCTGCCTCAAAAAAATTAAAATTAAAAAACTAAAAAACATTAAATATATTCATTCATTTACCGAACACTTACTAAATAAATACCTATTATGTTTCAGGTATTGTGCTAGGTGACAAGATAATGATAAACAAATTAGACTCTGCCCTCAAAGAAGCCTGTAGTATAGTGGGAGTAACGAAGGGCTATTTTCAACACTGTGCTTCTAAGAATATTAAATTCTTCCTAAACTTTTTATGGATCATAAAAACGTTTATGTTTAAATTTTAATAACAGAGAATAAAACTCGCAAACTTTTCAAAACCTAAGACTTCAAGAAGAATTTTAGAAGTCACATATCAAAATTTATATTCTTGCTTGCACCTTAATTTAGTTCAATTTATTAGTTAACACAATCCCTCAACAAACATCTACTGAATGCCTACAATGGACAAAACACTGCAAGCCACTTATTAAATTCAACTCCTGTGCATTTTTGGAAACAACTGTAGAGAATGAGAATTAGTTCTAACTTACTTAACACACTTTTGTATTTCACAATTTTTGGAAATATCCCATAAAAATCCTTACTACAGTGAATCTTGTTCCAATTTTAAACCATCACAACATGGTGGTATGAAGTTATATAAATATGAAACAACGTAATACAGTGGTTAAAAATAAAGGCTCGACAGCTATCCTGTTCACTTCTAGACTCCATCACTTACCAGCTGTGACCTTAAGCAAGTTCCTTAATCACACTCCAGGGGGCAGTCAGGGACAAACCCCACCAAAGGGTTTTTTTGGTACATCTTTATAAGTGGGACAAAAGAACGTATGAAAATAAACTTAGGTGGGGTCAGTCCTGGACAACCCCCCATTGGAATGTGACTCACTATGCCTTAATGTCCTTGTATGTAAAATTATGATAATAATTAAATAATATCATATATATAAAAAGTGTTATAATAGTGCCTGGTATATAGAAAGCACTACGTAAGATGGAAGTATTTCAGATTGCATGTGAAAACCCCACACCGTACCCCAGAAGTTCATTAATGTACATAGTTACCATTCAATAAAAAAAAAAAAAAAAAGAAAGCACTACGTAAGTGTTTTGCCATTACTGTAATTATTTGCTTATAAGGCTCTTAATGTGTAGGTTAAAAAGGGTCATTTGAAAGAAGAAATGTTGATGAAAACATACGTGGAGTCAGAAGTTCTTCCAGTCTCTGCAGGCATTAACTAAAATTATTGAAATACAATTTTCATAAATATAATAAATTATTTAACAATGTCTTTAAAATCGTACAAATAAAACAAGACTTGATATAAGGTTCCTCTATTAAAATACTAATAAGCTTTCTAGTAAATACATATAATAAAATGCTTATACCCATTATATGCACTTCAAGAATGCATAAAGTATAAAGGTTATAAGATACTAATCTAGTCACTAGCAAATACACTGCATATTCAATACATTAGGTAGAAAAATGCTCAGACAATAATCACCTCAATAGCATCATCATACATCTTTCTTGCCTCATGGTCTGTTTTATCTGACATCAACCATGCTTTCAGTAAGTATTCATAAAAACTGTCTCCTAGACCACCAACTGATGTATGATCTGTAAAAAAGAGAAGAGAGAAGAAAAGAAGTTGAGAAAACACATATAACAAATAAAGTAATATCTTTCCATGATAATCACTATGCTGCAGGTGAGTAATCTTAAATTATATTCACAGTCCTATTTACAACACACTTCAAATTCAGTACAGTAAGGGCACACTACAATGGTTCAACTGGACACATGCATCCTACTTTCTAGAGTATCTTTTTTCCTCTGGATGTGGCACTTCTCTTGAATCACATAGTTTGAACAAAATTATAATACATCTAGAGTTTTCCCAAATTGAATATAATTACCTTTCACGTTTTAATGCCTTTAAATATGTAAGTTATGATTAAATATGCAAGATAAGTTTAAATCCGATATTGACCAAAGCTTCTCACTCAAATATTTTTCACTATGATGGCTGATAATTCCTGTGCCATAGGCAATATATTAAAGTAAATCTACAAAGAAATAAAAAGCCTAAGAATTCCTTTGTAATATCATTTTGCAAAATATTACTATAATAGCTGTCAAATTCCTGCCCTTGATTCCTATTTTTAGAACTATTAGTATTGGCATACTTCAGACATACAGCAGGTTCAGCTCTAGACCACAGCAATAAAGCAAGTCACATGAACTTTCTGGTATTTTATGTAAATGATCTTAATGATCTTAACCAAACTATATAATGAAGTGATAAAGGAAAAAGTTATAGCTTCATAAGGTACAAGCTAAATGAAATATCAATCTAAAAGACAAAAATTGAGTGGGAGAAGATATTTGTAATAAACATGAAGGATTAATGTCCTAAACAATGACCTCTGCCAAATAAGGAAAATTAAAATAGGGAATACACAAGAAAGGAATAATAAACTGATAATTAACACAAGAAATGATGTTCAACTTCACTAGTGATCAGAGCAAAGTTAAATAAGGAGATCTCATTTTTTTGTCTGTTAGATCAGGGAATATTTTTAAAAGATTGATAATAGCCAATGTTGACAGGTTCATCGTTGCTGGAACTGAAATTCTCATTAATGAAAGTGGTCTATAGTTTTCTTTTTTGTTGAGTCTTTTCCTGGTTTTGGTATCAGGATTGATTTTCTATTATTCTGTTCTCAAATTTTAGTGTTTCAGTCTTCTTTCTCTACATTCTGGACATTTTATCAATCAATTTTATCTTTAGTCCTTTCACCCAAGTTTTAATGTGAGCAATCATACTTGAATCTGAGCTCTCTCTTATTCTCTAAATTGCTTCTTTTTTCACAGCATCCTATTCTTATTTTACGAACAGAATGTAGTCTCAGAGTTCTTTGGATAAAATAAAGAATTTATTCTTTAAGAAACATCCTTTAGGCTTGGCGCCTGCAGCTCAAGTGGCTAAGGTGCCAGCCACATACACCTAAGGTGGCGGGTTGGAATCCAGCCCGGGACCGCCAAACAACAATGATGGCTGCAACCCAAAAAAAAAAAAAAAAAAAATAGCCAGGCGTTGTGGCGGGCGCCTGGGGTCCCAGCTACTTGGGAGGCGGAGGCAGGAGAATCGCTTGAGCCCAGGAGTTGGAGGTTGCTGTGAGCTGTGATGTCACAGCATTCTACCCAGGGGAACAGCTGAGGCTCTGTCTCAAAAAAAAAAAAAAAAGAAACATCCTTTAAATGTTTATTTATAGAATTATTTCAGTCTCTTCTAGATCCCTTTTTTGATTTTACATACTTTTCATTGTATAATATGCTAACAGAAAAGCATATTAAAACACAAATGTTCTCTATAGTAAGGAGAATATTTGTGTGACCTGTACTCAGAAGAATGCCAGAATGCCCCCCAAAACCTTCCACGTACCCCTTCCTTGTCATAATCTAACATTCTCAAAAGGTAATCATTATCTTAACTTTTAAAGTAATCATTTCTTGACTTTTTTATACATTTTTTATTTTGCCTATTGATACATTTTTAATACATGAATTCAATATAATCATCTTCTCACATCTAGCTTCCATAGCTCAAAATGTAGTAAGATTCAACCATGCTGTTGAGTGTAGCCGTGTATCACATATTCACATTTCTTCATGATACCCCACTGTATTGGTCAATCACTAATTATGGAGCACTAAGAATGAAGTTCTGGGTTGCCAGTGCTGGTTTCCTCCATTCAGTAGCAGATGCTCCTCCTGCTGAGTAGACCTATTTGTCACTAAGTCTCTCCCTTGAGTGGGAAATCTGACTGGAGCTTTTTGTGTAGGCAAAGTTGAGGAAGGGTGGTCTAAGTAGAAAGCTTTGCTTCAGAATCAGGAATGGGTTTATTGTGAGCCACCATGCCTGGCCCCTTTCAGAGCTTTTTAATATTTTGTAAATGTATCTTGGTGCTTAGAGCTTTTAAGTTCTCTTATAGACCAATGTCCACATAAAACATTCCAAACTATTCAGTTGACTGTAATAAGAATATATTCTGTAAAAATACTCAAATACACAATTCCATTCCTCTCCTCTTTCAAAAGAGTTAACTGCTGCTTTCTCATAATTCACTTGCTCCCTAAATCATCTTATAGTCTAGCTTCGGCCTATCCCACAGAACCAAACCAAAATGGCTCTCTACAATTCCATGATCATTTCTCAGTCCAAATACATCACATAAATTTCATAAAGTATGAAAATAAGGTGATTAAATAGTAAAAGACACAATCTGGAGGCTGAATTGGTAGGAGGTGTTGTTGAACTAAGGGCCTAAATTAACTAAGAGTATCAGAAATGAAGAAATAGATTTGTGTGTGACTAAGTAGAAACAATGGCAAAGGCCAGACCAGGTAGAATGTGGGTAAAATAAGAAATCAAGAGGAAAATAAAGTTTTAAAATGCAGATATGATCTTCAATCTGTACATGAGACATTTAAGGTACCTACATAATCACAAAATCCTATATGTCTGTAGACAGAAGCTGAAGAAAGATCAGTATTGAAATATTGATTTCTAGGGGAGGAGGTGCAAAGTTTTTTGCAAAGGGCCAAATAACCTACAGTCTCTGCTGCATACTCCTCTGTTTGTTGTTTTTATTGATGGTGATGTTTATTTAAACAGCCTTTAAAAATGTGAAAACCAGTCTAAGCTAGCAAGCCACAGGCTGGCCGCCATAGTTTGCTGATTGCTCATTTAGTTCTCATCAATATAGAGCATACAATTCATGCTATAAAAAGAGATGAGGTTAGTGAGGCAAAATGGAAAGGGTTAGAAATAAGAATCCCTGGGAGTATGAACATTTAAGAAGCTGAGTGAAGAATGTGAAACAAATTCCCATTCCTTGACAATGGACTGGTCTTTTGTCTTGCTCTGCCCAACTGATGTGGTAAAGTGTGCTATTTTTAAGCCTATGTATGCCTCAAGAGGTCTTGCAAGCTCCACATCTTTTTCTATTTTTTTGTTGAGACAGAGTCTCAGTTTGTCACCCTTGCTAGAATGCTGCGGCATCATAGTTCACAGCAACCTCAAACTCTTGGGCTCAATTCTCGTGAATTCTCTTGCCTCACTCTCCCAAGTAGCTGAGATTACAAGTGCACGCCGCAACACCCAGCTGTTTTTAGAGACGAGGTCTTGCTCTGGTTCAGGCTGGTCTCGAACCTGTCAGTTCAGGCAATCCACCAACCTCGGCCTCCCAGAGTGCTAGAATTACAGGCGTGAGTCACCGCACCTAGCCTGCTCTACTTCTTCCTATGGAACTCCAGTATTACCATTTAAAGTACCATGGCATAGTCTGATAGAAGATGATACCTCATGAAGCAGAGTGGAGTCCTCCCAAATGGGGCCAAACTAGCTCCTGGCAACCTCCAGCCAACCTGTCAGCTAACAGCAGACATATGAACCAGTCCAGATAAGAACAGCAGACCCCAAGTGAGATCAGAAGAACCACTCAGGTAACCTGGAGACTGCAGAGAAATAATAATTTGTTTTACATCACTACATTTTAGAGTGGCTTGTTATACAGCAATAGTTAACTAATACATTGTGTTTTTTGGACTAGTCCTTAGAATAGTTACTGGACCATATAAGAAATTACTTTTAGTTGGGTGCAGTGGCTCATGCCTATAATTCTAGCACTCCAAGAGGCTGAGGTGAGTAGACAGCTTGAACTCATGAGTTCAAGACCAACCTGAGCAAGAGTGAGAGCCCGTCTCTGAAAATAGCCTGGTGTTGTGACAGGTGCCTATTGAAGTAGTAGTAGTTCCAGCTACTCAGGAGGCTGAGACAAGTGAATTGCTTGAGCTCAGGAGTTTGAGGTTGCTGTGAGCTATGACACCATGGCACTTTACCCAGGGCGAGAAAGTGAAACTCTGTCTCAAAGAAAAAAGAAATTACTTTTAGTGGAGTGGTAGAGAGTCAGAATCCAGAATCCAATGTATTGAGAAATGAACCAAAGCCAAACAAGAAAAATCAACAAATACAAACTATTCCTTCAAAAGGTTTTATCATGGCAGGAAGAAGGAATATGGGGTGTTCCCCAGAAGGGGGCTATGGCATTGAAAAAGAGTTAAAATACAGAGAGGGATTTACTGCTATTAGAAAGGAACTAGAAAATCTAATATACAGAATAATTAAATGGGAATACCACACACACACACACACACACACAAAAGAGTTTGAGAGTTGATAGACGATCTAGAACACAGGTCAATGGACAAACACTACAGGATAACAGATGCAATATTCTCTGAAACTGGAAAAACTAAAGTAAAACCAAGTGAGTAAATAAATGAGTTTACAGTTAAAGACATTCCCTGACCTGATTTAGAAATAGGAGTGAAGAAAGGGGTATGGTGACCAACCTTAAAAACTATTAGAACTATCTAGAAATAATTTTTTTAAAACCAGGATAATAAAGTAAGACAAGGAAGACTCAATATTGAACAGAGAAATCAATAGTTTGACCAGAAATTCATAATGAGGCTATGGAATAGTAAAATAGTTAAAAGTAATAATAGTAAAAGCATACTAAAGTTTTTGTTTTATAGAGAGGGAAGTTACA